GCCTCAGTCTCCAGGATGTCCATCAGTAGACATGATAGGAGGAGGATGAATTCAAACTACCTAAAGATCTCACTGCTCCCCAGGTACTTGAAGATGGGTGAAAACCACTCACATTACTCTCAAAGCCATGGAGACAATTTTTTTGTCCTGTTCTTGATTTCATTTCCCTCTCTCCCCACCATGCCGGATTCATTGTGTGTAGATTTACAGAGAGATGCAGAAGACTTTGGAAAATTTCTGTAGGTTTTCAGAAACACTGATGTACAGCTAATTTAATGGAAGCTTTTATGTGTAAGGGTCCTTCTCATTTCTGTGCCAAACAGAGCAGTGCCTTTACTTGCCTCCTGCTGAGATGCCTAGCACAGATTGGCATGGGCAATTGCTGCTTACCACCATGTGGGAACCAGACAGACTCACAAGGAGTATTAAAACATAGGTCTTGTCAGGCAAAATTGATTATTCCTTTCATACGCACTACAGAATTAGTGGATGAAGGGAATGGGACAGCATAATAATTCCTGATTTCAATGTCAAGAAATCTTGTAAAATTAATTCAAATTCACTTGGAGTGGAAGTGGGAAGCTGTGGTTAAAGGCAATTGACAGGTCTCATTGAGATGAGGGGAAGGGCATAGAGATCACTGCAGAGATAACACGAGTTTTGCAGAGACAGTAAAGAAATAAAGTTACATGCCCAAGTCCCAGTAAATGCAACAGGGAATTGGGGATCTCTCATCTGTGTGCCTTTGAAAATTTCTCTCATATGTTTTGTTTGCCATCTTTGCTAATTATCGAAGTTAAAGTGAGATGTTCATGAAATTCAGTTTAAAACCAAAAGAAAAGAAAAGAAAGACTCGTGAGTCTTTACTGAGTCTGTGAGAAACATAGAGAAAGGTGAAACGTGACTGAACATTTAAAGAAAGTGATCTGGTTAGAAATAATTGAAAATCTGGGTAGTATATTAACAGAGGGCTGAAACAACCATCAGAAAGTGATGTTAAAAAAAAAAAAAAAGTCATGAAAACATCAGAAAGTGATGTTAAAAAAAAAAAGTCATGAAATGTTACATCCATTTGCAATGCAAAAATAAAGAAATCAATAATGAATTCTATATATGGAAACATCCCATCACAGTGCAGGAAGGGAATAACCTTTTTCCCTACCTCTGTCCTTCCATTCCTGATCAAAACTAGAATGAGATGTGCATTTCTGGATATCTCTTTCCCAAAACAGTATTCAACAACTGGAAGAAATGCAAGGAGAGTCATGAGACATATTTGAAAAAAACAGTCCTTAACTTGCCAGGGAAGTTCCTGGTAATTATTCACATAAATTTCATGACTGTAATGACAAAAATAGAAGCCAAGCTTACTTTCTCATCAGGAACCAAGAGGGTGCTGTTTAATTTTTCCGTGAGGACATTCAGGACTGACATCACAGAACCTGTGAAAAAGCAACTCTTTTTTCCAAAAGACTTGTCAGTTAGCAAGGGGATGAAACTCAGCTTTTCCTTGGCAAAGAATCCACAAGGGCTCCCCATCCCCTGTCCAGAGCTGGAAAAACCACATGCCATGTCCTGGAGGGGTGAGGCTTTCAATCCTTTGGGATGCCTCCAAAGCCACAGAGGACTTTTTGACCCTATCTTCTCTAAGCTCACAAACTGTAGGCACACACTGTATGTGTTCAGTCACTCAGCACTCAGCTGCTGATGTCAGGAGCTTACTAATGTCATTTAAATCAAGGGTAGGTATAAATCAGAACAATTCAGGGCCAAAGTGTCAGCGACTGTTTTGTGCTGCATTGAATCTAATGCTACCTTTGACAGAAAAATGACACTATATGAAACACACAGTTCTCCTAAATAGGAAGAAAAACAGGAAAAAAAAAAGCTTTTTAGGGTCATTGATTGATGGGTTTCACAATTTCTCCTAGGCCAAACTAGCAATCCAGCAAGGATGAAAAATACTCTGTCAGGTGTTGCCTGCTGTCAAAACTTGACATTTACTATGTACAGCATATGTTTATGAAGAAAACTATCTTCTAGCAATATATCAGGAGGAATCTAAGTTCAGGGCACATTATCAATGGATCAATTTTAAATTAATGAATTGCATGCATGTTAAGCAGATAGCTGATAAAGTGATAGGATTTCAGAATTAAATGTTGCTTTTGAATCTGCAAAGATTATTTCTTGCCTATTTATGATCTCCCTTCCTTTTATGTTAATTTAATTCACTTGTTACTGGTACTCACCTGTTCTGGTGTGACTTCTTGCTACAACTTACATTACACTGTAATTGAAACACTTAACATGCTAGAACTTCATCTCATACCTGTATGAAGGATTATATGATCTGGGGACTCAGAACTAATCCCATCAAGCTACTTCAACATTTCCTCTTTCTGTATATAAAGGAACAGAAAGTGAAGAACTGAGGGATTTTAGAAGGTAATGCAACACAGAGACATGGATATTCCCATTGCTTCCATCTGGTCTGTTACTGTTTTCCACAATCCCTTTTCCTTATTATCCAAGGAGAAGGGACAGCCCAGTAAGGAGTCCATAGGGGAGGAGAAAATTCTCTAATACTTTTTCTCTTATATTCATAACTAACTGCACTGAGTCCATTTGTGCTTTTCCCCGAAGTGTCTTACACAATCTAACACCTGCAGCTGTGCAATGCCAAGGTGCCAGGAATCATCAGCCCTTGTTTTCTCCCCTCTCTCTAACTACACTGTCCAATTCCAAAGCCAGAACACTTCATCTTAAGATGCTGGTGTGGTTGCTAAGTATCAGCAATGTCATTTCCCTGCCACATCATTCACAGGCCTCATGAACACATGGAAAGTGGTTAAGGTCATCATGAATCTTACACTACCCATGTATTAAAATATGTATTAAGATAACACTCTCTTCTCCTCAAGAATGAATTTTAAATGGTCTGACAAATTTTAGGTAGTATGATGACCGAAAAAAATTTCAAGCTCATAAAAACATCCACATACTGACAAATTAAAATCAATGGACAGGTTAAACAATCACCTAAGCAAACCTGAGGTACTTACTGTCTGGAGTACTGAGAACAACTAGGAAGGTAAAACAAATCTCCAGACTCAACAGTGAGGTTTAATGGGAAGGTTAGAGATGCTGTCTGCATCTAAAGGGTGTAATCCCAGATGGAAACAAAGCTCTCAGTAATACTCTAACTTTAGACTAAATAAAACCAAAATTGTATCCACTGGAGGTTAATAAGTTATGGTTAAAAAATTGGAAATTCCATCAGGTAAAGAATATGAAGCCAAAGAATAGAAAAGAGTAAAAGTAAATGCTATTGTTTAAGAAGCATGAACCTTTCAAGAGAAAGAATGAATCTTTTGGACCAGAAAGAAGCAAGCAAGGAACATAAGGGCAGAGCTGGAGGAGAACAACTAGTTCTAGATAGGTTAAGAAAAGAAAAAGTGAATGAAGTTGCTGAGCTACAAACAGAAGTTTTCTTGAAGTGACCTGGTTAGAGGACTGAAAAGTAATACAGGCATTAGGAATAACCCTGGAAATTCTAAGACAAGAAGCTCTCTCTACTTTAGCTAAACCAGTTCAAATTGCTGTAGGATGTAAGACATCTCTTCTGGCACAACTGTGCAGTTCCTGCTATGGAACACGGATGGGGATGAACACTTCCAAGTGTGTCTGTGTACATTTGTGTGCTCACAGCAATCATTTCAAGTCCATAAGAGCTCAGAAGGTCTTGCAAACTCCAGTGCTCCTCACCCATTTCAGCTATGGCTGGCTGAACCACAGTTGTCCTCTTGGTATTATAATAAGAAAGGCATTTATTTTCCTGTGTCTGGGCCAAGATAACAGGTTCATCATACAGAGCTGACTATTGACAGAAACTTCTCATTTGTAAATGTGGTGAACTCTGCTGTGATATTTGAAATCTTCTATTTCTAAGCTGATTTTTGTGAACTTGTCAAATTGGAACTGCTTTCTGCTCTGTTAGTAAAACCACTCCATTTTTCACTTCATTCCCCACTGCTTCTTAGCATAACTCTCTTCCTCTTTGAGAGTCTGTATGGTGGTTCCAATTAAATGGCACTACCCTAAATATTTTTTGCCCACTCTTTACATTTCTTTTCCAGCAGAGTAGTTCTGAAAACATTCAACAAAAAAAAATAACAATTTGCTTGGTTCTAATTTTTAAAAAGAGAGGAGATAACAATACCCAAGAAAATCTACCAGATTGTTCTTTTAATAAATACATTAAAGTCTCTTTTATTTTTCTCCATTTTTAGTGACTAACATAACAAAAACTTTCAGACCATCAAACCAGTTTTCACAATCTGCCATAAATTTGCATTTCACAGAAATAATCCTGACAAGCACTAATAGATGAACGTTGTTGGTGCAATAATAAAACAATATAAGGCATATTTACACCATCCTTACATACAGAACACTGTACACACAAAAAAATCACAGATCCAGAACAAAGTAAATTCAATCCCTTAGACGTTTTACGTTTATAGGCCTGGTATCAAACAAATAATTTTCCAAGCAACAGACAACCTCTTGTTCTTGTGTGATTTATTTGTAACATTGTGCTCATGCAAAATAGGTATTTGCTTTATTGCATTAACATTGAGAGAATGTCGGGAATTAGTTCTGAAACCAGTTCAATCAGATTTTAAACCCTGTTTCTCTTCATCCTTTCATAAGTCTGAGTTATTTTTATTGGTGACATAAAATGAGGTGTTAACCGATGATTGAGATTTTTATTTGGTAAGTTCCAAAACAATAATGAAGCTCAACTGACTACAGCTCAAAAACCATCTTTCTTGACCATGCACATTTTCTTTGCTATTATGAAGTGGTTTAGATGAGATGCCTTTTGCATTTTTTTTTAAAGTTTCTATCTTTTTATATATATTTTTAAAGAAAAACATGTACTATCCAACATCCACCGTTCACAGAAAGAAATAAGCAGCAGGAACAGCTCTGGAGGCAGAGATGGCCAGGAGGAGGACATCAGTAAGTTAGTGGCAACATAACAGACATCAAATGCCCCAGAGATACGTCATGAAAAAGTTGATGACTATAACCCATATTTCTGTAAGAGTTCAGACTGCCAGGGACGTTTGCGCTCTGGAAAGTAATCTGGAATGTGGATTTTTTTAAAATCTTGAATACATTTTCTCATTTCTTCCTCAACACTCAGCTTCTCACACACCTTCTTTTTGGAAAGATTTGTTTCTCTGGACTTGCTAATCAGAGTTTGAAAGAGTTCACTGTTCCTGCGTTTGTCCGGCGGTGGCATCCACTGCACCGGGGCCTTCTTAGAGGGACGATCCAAAGTCAGAGTGTTTGGCTGGTGGGCTGAGGATGGCTGAGTGCTGGTGGCATTTTCTTGAGGGGTGCTTGCTTCTGAGTGGCTGTCACAGCTCGAGGTGGACAACTCATTACAGGAAGTCCCACTTTCACTGCCTTTGTCCAAGACTTTGTCATGCTTCCTTTCTTCGTGGTCTTGTTTGGGGGAAATGGTTCGCTGGGGGGGCCCTAATACAAGGCAGGAGAGAAAAAGTATTAAGCAAGCACTTGTTTGCACAGAAAACTGATACCATTTAGAAAAACATGATTCAGAGTCCTGGCTGGCATAAACTGGTGGCATTTCCTTGTAGTCAAAAGAACTATACCCAACTGGTATACAAGTTGAAGGTCTGGTCCTCAGAATTCTGACTCCTAAAAATGTTTACAGCAAGAGCAACTTCATGGCCTGGCTAAGAATCCAGGTAATGGAGTGTGCATAATGCTCACAGATTAGCTGCACAGGAAATCCTTGCAGGCAAGTTTTAATGAGCTAGTTTGCTATTACACCCCAAGAAGTTTATTATGATAAATTAGGTTTTGTTGTATTAAGGAAATACTACCATACAATTTACAAACTCTTCATTTGAATTAAAATATTCCAAGGGCTTAGATTTTTTCTTTTTATTTTGGAAGCTCTTAATTCACCTTCCCCAAACAATCTACTGATATTATGCTCTGCAGAAGCCCTGGACAGAAAAAGGAGTATTAAATCTGGAATAACAGAGATTGCTCACTGCTGACAGAGTATTTAGGCTTTTTCTCTCTTTTTGGCATCCTACAGTGATTTCACCACACTTCTTACTGTCAGTTGTTATCCCAGACTTGACTCAGAACGAGCTCAGAATTCAGCTCTACACCTCTTACTGCTAAGCTGGCAGGGAAAAGGAGGCTCTGAAGTTGTGGGTAAAGAGGCACAGTGCCAGGGCAGGGAGACAGGCACTGCTCAGCTCTTCACACACCTGAAAATCAGATCTAGCCCGTTATTCTCTCCAGATATAATTCTTGCTTTGAAGTCTTAAGCGGAATATCAATGTGAAAATTAAGTGGTAGCCACTAAATCTGTTCAAGCATTTTCAGTTTTGAAGCCTTATTTCAAAACTCCAGCTGTGGAGTGAAATGATGCTATGCTGACATCACATAAACGTCACGATCTTAATTTAGAACACTCTCTAAAGCTGACAGAAATATCTATGCAGTTCAAGAGGTGTGGGATCAGACCAAAGGGAAACATTTCCAAGATGTTTAAACAGCTCAATGAAAATATAGATTGAGGCTTCAATGGCAATTGTGTGTCTGCTACAAATCCTGAAAGTTTCCAAACAGGTTAGCTACCTAGATATCTTATAAAAACTAGATTTTCTCACAGTTTACCCAGACACCACCAAACTGCCTTTGCAGTACTAAGACACAGGGTATGACAGTTCTACCTTGAGTCACTGGGATAGAGTTGCAAGGAGATTTTTGATTCACTTAGCATTCTGTTGTTCGGAATTACAAATTAGAAATGTAATTACAATTCTAAAGCAACAATGCAGAAGCAATGTGAATACTCTAGTGTCTTTTTGACAGAGCAGTTTTAGGATTCAAAGGAATCTAAGAAGATTGCAGTATTTGATATGAGACACGGGGCAAAACAAACAAAGCAAAACACAAAGGTAAGTAAAGAATAATCTAACAACACCAGCATTCAACAAGCTGCTTCTCTTTTGTTTGAGTCAGCATCCCAGGATGCTACATCACATTTCTGTAGTCCAATTAGAGAAACCCATGAATAACCAAGAGCCAGAGACAACAAATCCATCAGGATTATGCAGAGTGAAAAACACAAGCAATTTTCTACTTCAGTATATTCAACCCAAATATTTAACACATGGCTGCAGCAATTACCCTCCTCTTCCAGAGATATGTTCACCTCCCAGAACAGATTTACATGCCTTCCTTCTATTGTTCTAGCTGGCATTTCATTTCACACCTCAAGCCATTAGATGAAGATGCTACCCCAAGAGTCAGCTGGCACTGTGGATCTGCTCTGGCTTTGCAGCATGCAATTATAAAACTGAGTAGTTAATCAGACAGTGACTTCAGTATTGTTACTCTGATTTTCACTCACATGATTAGCAGCAATATCTAATCTAGTTTACAATCTAGGCTTCTTCAAATATAACAACGCACCCTACGACCAGGAGACTAAAGTTTTCTGTTAGCAATACTCTGCAGTCTTCAACTATCTTTCCTGCCCATTTTTTTGCTGTAACTTCATGTATCAAGATGTTATTTCTTGTTGGTCTCTTTATACTTAGTTCTTTATTGCTATTCCTTGCTTCTCATGGGCTCAAACCTCCAATGTACTAAGGATCTATTTCAAAAAAGCACTGAAATACACCTTCAAGAATATAAATCCATCTCCTGCTATAAGATTATTCAAGAGTGTGACAATAGGCAGGTATTTAAATGCTTTTTTTGGATCACAGCCCTGAGGTTCAGTACCTTACAGCACTGAGCTCTGTATGCTTCACTGAACCACCTAAATTCACAATGACTTTAATCCAAACACAAGTTTCTCCCACACCTCTCCTTTTAAAAATTAACAAATCCTCCCTCACAAAGAATTCTTTATATGCTTCTGCACTGCTTTCTCAGTAGTGTGTTATTAACAGAAGCAATGGTTCTGCTAGAGGGGAGGTTTTTTTCACAATATTTTCCGCCTGCTGAAACCCAAAAGAATCTTTAAATACATAAGAAAGAATCCTCCAAAGATTCGTTTAATTTTCAACATCAGGGATTATCAGATAAATTTAGCTACATTTTGAATTCAGAAAGCATTGCCTTATTGCAGTCTATGCTGGCACACTCTCCACTCTACCTCCTCAGCCCTTCCAGAATAACACCAAAGACATTCAAAGAGCTCAGTCTGCCTGGAACAGCTTCTTTTCCAGGAGTGAGGAATAGTTCTTAAAGACTCAGAGAAAGTAGATTTGCTCCACTGTGCCCATAGGATCATTTAGGCTGTAAAAGACCTTTAAGATCAACAAGTCTAACCATTCACCTGACACTGCCAATTCCACACATAATGCTAAACAAGCCTCACTGTCTTACAAACTTTCTCTGCAAGACTCCACCTGGTTCCTTGTGTGTGCAGTTTCAAGTGCAGAAAATAACTTCCTCACTCAGCTACTTTATCCCCACAGTGTCTCAAGGAAATTTTTTTGTCTACATATCGGTTTATTTTAACTGCAGAATGTAAAAGAAGTTATGAACATATGCACAGATTGCTGCAGTTAGATACTTTAGTAACTACTGTGTTGACATGAAGAATGGAAAATCTTAGCTCTGGAGAACAACAGTTATAGCTGGATGCAAGATGAGAAGAATCTGATATAAAAACAGTCATTTGGAAGCAAAACATAGCCAACACTTTAAATGTGTTCAATATACAGTACCTCAATCGAGAAGAATGGAATCTCTTAAAGAGATGCTAATTTTTACTGCTGTTTCAGAAAATACGTGTGAAAAAAGTGAACTGATTTGAGTTTTATCAATCCTCCTGCCAGCACTGCAAAATAAAGCCTGTTTCTTGATTTAAATAAAAACCAAAGCCAATTCTAAAATTCAAACCAACCACCCCAAAATTTCAAGTCTTTTTATAATACAATTTTAGTGACAACAAAGTTCTTGGGGATATTTTATCTTCATAATTACCAGTTTCTTTAAATGTACCTAAAAAATCCCCCAAACCCAGCTCTACTATACAGTCTCTTGAATTAATGAACTAATCCAATTAATTACATCTGTTCCTCTGAACTGATACAGCTATAAACAAAACTAACCCTGTGTAAGCACAAAAAACTTTAGTAAATACTTTATATTTATTGAGAACACATCTTTAAAAAAATTGCAGCAGCTATTAATAAAATTATGATGTAAAATACTGAAACAGTAAAAAAATTCCATGTTTGTGATTGATTTATTGAACAATGAAAACAGGGAGACGGCTCAGAAATATCTTAGCAATGAGAACAAGAGTTTATTTTTGTCTCTGCAGAAGAAATTATACCTAATCCAACAAGATTATTTGTAGTTAGATTCATGATTTTTGCATGCCTGAGAATACTGGCAGTATGTGGCTTGCACATGATTTTGCATTAAATGCAATTTTTCCACATTGTTTTGCATAGTGAAAAGTCCTTATTTTATAGGCCACACAGGACCTTTAGTTTGGAATATGGATATTAAACCCCTGAATGAACTTCTCTACCTGCTGTCTCCAAATGATACTGTATACAGAGTCAATGTAAGATGAAACCTATTGTGGTTTATGATTTAATCCTGAGAATCTAAGCAAAATTGACTATCATTAATATACAATCACACAAAAAAAATATTCAGCAAATCACACATTATGATGGACTTATCCACCTAACATATCTCGGTTTTTTATCACCTTTCATGAAGTTGGAAGCATTACACTAAACTGAATGCTTCGAGAGAAGTCACCTGTGAAATCTGATGACAGGTTATGGCTACTGTGGGAACACTTTCATTACCAGACTTTTGAGTACTTAATATCACACTTCAGTGATAAATGATTACCTTTTATGTCTAATTTCACTTTAACTCTATTTATAAAAACGATTATTTTTAAGAGCTATGAAAGGATAGCTCTAAATCCCTGACATTTTCAGTGGCATATTAATGATATTTCCAGTTTTAGAAGAAAATCCTTAAGAGCTCAGCTCCATACATGAATTCACTCCCTGAGACCAGCGTTGGATTCAGTTTGCTGCTTACCACTAAAGCTACAGGTTAAAACTAACTTTATGGCTGGTAAATTTACAATGCACCTCCTGACCACTACTCTGTTCTATTTAGTGTGCTACAAAATCGAGTTCAAGCCACTGCTTGGATTTAGCAGTGAGAGTTTATGGGGTTCAATCCATACAGTTGCCCAAGGAAACTTTCCTGCTCATTACAGGTAATAGCAATTTACATTAACTTAGTTCTGAGGAGTAGGGGCAGGAGGAGAGAAGGAAGGTCATGCCCCACCAAATGTCCATTTTAAGGCAAATATTCAGGCCTACACATGAATCAAGTGGCACACATTCCTTAGCTGCCCCTCTGCCCACGGATGGATTTCATCCATTATGAACATTCCAAGTAAACAGCACTAATAACTAAGCTTATAACGTGAG